GCAGCCGAAGGCACTGGTTAGGGTATGCATCTCAGCAAGCAACTCAGAGAAGCATTATTGAGACCACACTGGGAACTCCACTCTGCCGAGATGCGTAAGGGGTCTCCCCACATCTCCTGCATGAAGCGGCAGGATGCTGGAGCATTGACCCGTGGCTCTCGTCCACCAGGTGGAAGGTTGGTTCCAAGGCTGCCAGCTCCCTGACATATGCATGCCCCACTTGTGGGCATACTGTTGCCAAAATCGGAGGAGCATCCGGGGCGGTGACGCAGAACACCCAAGGAACCTGCCGTGGTCCAGGGTCTAACAGAACCAACTGCCCCTTGTCTCAAAGGATGGGACAATACCAGCAATACAGGGAGACATGTTTGCTATAAGCATTCAAACCAAACAGAAATACATCAAGAGTCTATATGCATTCAGCCCTTTTCCTAACTCCCCTCCCCATCTCAACCCACGGATAACTTTGGAGTACATCTCAAAACAGACAACACTCTGCAATTTAAATTTGTATAGTTACAGAAACATACACATTGTTCTTATGACCAACAGTCAAACTCCTGGTATAGCATCAAATCCAGGACTACCATAGTCAAAATCACTTTATATTCTGCTAAGAAAGCAAAAATGCTGCTGTTTATTCCTGTAACATCCCACCAAGTTCATGATAATCCTGATGTTAGGGAGGTTAATATGTGAAAGTCAAATATTAAGTGACTGGACTGCAGCGATACAATCATAACTCACTGCAGCCTTGACCTCCTGGGCTCAAGCAATCCTCCCATATCAGCCTCCCAAGTAGCTGGGACTACAGGTATGTGCCACCATGCCCAGCTTTTTTTTTTTTTTTTTTTTGTAGAGATGGGGTTTTGCTATGTTGCTCAGGCTGATCTTGAACTCCTGGCCTCAAGTGATTCTCCTGCCTTCACCTCCAAATGTGCTGGGATTACAAGTGTAAGCCACTGCCCCTGGCTATACAGTGCTATTATGTTCCAGATTCTTCCTTCCCCTTCTCATAGAGAAATCACTAGCAATGAAGAATTTATGAGCCACGGGAAGTATCTTGGAGCTTCAGTCATCTAATAAATATATTCATCCTCTGATGATGATGATAATTAGCATGTATTGATGCTTACCAAGCTTTGAGTAAAATGCTAAGTGTTTTACACATATTGTCTCATTGAATCTTCTCAACAATGCTATGTGCTCAGGTACTGAACAGCCTCATTTACGGATGGGAAATTGTCTAGCAAAGTTAAATGACTAAGTTCACACAGCAGCAAATTAGACAAGCTAGAATTTACACCCAAGCATTTGACTCCGAAGTCTAAACTCTCTCTAGGAATTTACACTGCGCAAAGGTGTGGAATGCACGCCAGACATCACATCAATTTTGCAAATGATTAAAGGATCACCTGGCAGACAGACAAGGGCCAGGATAGATTTTAGAACACTCTGACCTATGAGAGTAGACAGGCCTGCACCAGCTCTATGTCTGCAGTGACATACACAGGTGTCAGAGCCTTTCCAGTCAAAGGCGGGTTGCCTTTCCTGCTTTCCTGTCACCGAGACCTAGGACTATGCTGTCAATATAGTTTTTGTTTGTTTATTCTTCAGGTGACATCAAGAGCTCCCCCTGGGAGGTTGGGTTGCGGAGGCTGCTCAGGAACCCCACTGAGAGATGGGTCAAGCAGGTATCCAAGTCCAATTACCTGGCTCAGGGCTTGATGTCACAGATGTGGGACTGCCTGAGATAGGCTGAAGCGTACGAAGCTGACTGGGGCCCTCGCAGAGCAAGACACAACAAACCAAAGCTCCTTCCTGAAATCACCGCGCACGCTGTGGGAGGGGTTTCCTGCCACACATCATGGGCACTTTTGTTTTCTCAGGAAGAGCAATAGCAATGAAATCCACATTGCCACATTACAGAGGGTTATGTGCCTGCATGGCACTCAATGCCAGGGATACCAGGATGGGGGTTTGGTGACTGTGTCCTGGAGATGCCTTGGGGGTCTGGAGCATCTGCACAGCATGGCAATCAGCTTCTCCAGCTGTAACCAGAGTGCCAGGAGATTCCTGCGGCTAGTCTAGAGGACTTTTCCAGGAAGCCCAGTGCACGGTAGGATCCCAGCTGCATGAAATCATTTTTAGTTACGTAGCTACAGTTTGCTTTATGGAGTCGCCGTTTGCCATGTTGACTCTCAGTGACAGCCCAGGGTGTGGGCTGGGGCCTGAACCCTCGTCCCTGATGAGACTGAGCACTGAGCACTGTTCTCCCTGCCTTCCTCCTCAGCCTCTCCCGATGGTGATGAGCCCCAGGTGCACCCACCTGCTAACTTTTCTCTTGCTCCAACAGCAAGGCCTCTTCTTCAGCAATAACCGCCCTACCGCAGGCTCCTGCCCCTAAAACCTGCCCGCAGATTCACTCCCAGGATCCACGTCAAATCGGGGTCACCAGAGGAAAGCCAGGGCACGTACTTTCATCTGCTGACTTGGGCTGCTCTGGGTCAAATCCCTGCCCCTCAACTCAGCACCTCTTCCAACAAGGCAGACACAGCTTCGGTTGCAGGTAGTTCTCAGAACACAGCGGGCGGCTCCCGCAGGACTAAAAGCGGCTGTGATGACTTACTGGCCAAGAGAGAAAATGACCATCCAGCCAAGTTGTTGAAGAAAGGAAAACAGAACGTCATGAACCAGTCTCTCACACTAGCCTGTCTGTCCCACCCCCACTCTCCCCATAGTAAAAACACCAGGGTTTCAAGACCGTTTCATCACACACTTTATTGGACATCTCCTTGGGCTGGTCACTGGGATACAGTAACCAGGAAATACAGTCGGCCCTCATGAATGAACAAAACTTACCACCCCAGAAGGGGAGCCGGAGACTCAGTGGGTTACCTTCCACAGTGCTACATGCTACAGAGGTACAGAACAATTCCAGGCAAAGGAGGGACCTGCCCCATCCTGAACAACAGGCATGGGGGTGAGGGCACCCACAGGGAAGAAGGCTCCCTTTAGCTGAGCTCAGTACTGGATAAAATGATCTTGGTGGGGCAGGAGGGAAAGTTCCAAGCAGGGGAAACAGAAGGGGCATGTGGTGGCTGGGGGTGCCTGGCTAATCGAGGCAGGGGATGGTGGGTGCAGTGGCTCACACCTGTAATCCTAGCACTTTGGGAGTCTGAGGCATGTGGATCACTAGGTCAACAGACCGAGACATCCTGGCCAACATGGTGAAACCTTGTCTCTACTAAAAACACAAAAATTAGCCAGTCATGGTGGTGGGTACCTGTAGTCCCAGCTACTCAGGAGGCTGAGGCAGGAGAATCACTATAAACCCAGGAGGAAGCGGTTTGCAGTGTGCTGAGATAGTACCACTGTACTCCAGCCTGGTGACACAGAGAAACTCAGTCAAAAAAAAAAAAAAAAAAAAAAAGAAAAGAAAAAGAAAAAGAAAAAAGAAAAAAAAAAAGAAAGAACGCTCAGGAAAGGCTTGGGGGCCAGATCGCCTTTGGCGGCGAAAAAGTCAAAACAGCTTCTATTTGTTGGGAATGTCCTATCACACAGAAATTCACTCAGAAACTGAAGCTCAGAGAAGTGACCATGCCATAGTGGGAATAGGTGGGTATTTGTTCTCAGTCAGCCTAGAGGAAGAGGCATTTGTCAGATCCCCCCTCCCCACCACCACCAAGTGAAGACGTGTTGTGTGGAAGTGTTCTCCATCTATTAAACATGGGGGCAGCCCTTGGATGAACGTTTCTAATCAGTCATCAACAGCCCTGTAAGATGAAAACCACCCTTAGCGTGCTCTTGAAATACTGTACTTACCAGGGTGAGAAAAGGAGCTGACACACTTCAGAACTGAACTCTAAGGATTTTCCTACTAAACAGAATGTTCCACTCGACAGGCATATGGCTGGATGACATTTTCCTAATGTGAGGTTCATAATTACTAGTAAGTCTGAAGTGTTAGAACAACCTGATCACGGCAACATTCCTACCCAAGGTTCTGAAGCTGGGCTAACTAGAAGGAAGCATTTATGCCTCACACCTTCCAAAGCGCCTCGACGAAGAGCTGCTCTTCCTTGAATATCCTCCCCTGCTTTGCTCTGGTGCCATCCCTGTCCCCTTTGCAGCCTGTAGAGCCCTCAGATGTCCCCTCCCTACCCCTTTCTATTCCCTCCCTCCAGCAGAATGTCATTCTCCTTATGATCCCGGACGCTATCAATACTCTCATGGCAGCCAATATAGCACAAGCCAATAGCACTGATTTCTGCATTCATTAAGCAAGTATTTATGATGTTACCTGGCTCCTCGCCAGACACTGGGGAGACAAGTGTGGAGACAGGGCACTGCCTGCACAGGGCACACGCTGGGGGACAGCTACCCACTCAGGTGTGCCATCCTCACCTCTGTCAGGTAAGGTGGGTGAATAGGGGAGTCCAAACAGGTGACCTGGTGGCAGCGGTGGGGGCGGGGGGGCGCTATTCTCTGATTAGGGGAACATAGAGAGAACAGGGGACAAAGTAGAAAGTAAATGGAGATGAATTAACAGTTATGTCTATGGGTCTGAAGCTGGAGAAAGAAGTCTGGGCTTCAAAACAGATTTCGGAGGCACCAGCTCACAAGGATGCAATCCTGAAACTGTGGCTGAAGGGGCTGAGTGCTCAGTCCCTCCAAGGACAAGGATGCTTTTCAGAGTACTGGTGTCACTTCATGTACCAGGTGGCATCAGGCTGCCAGGTAGTCAGAAAGAGAACAGGCGGGAGCAGAGCCAGGCAACTTCCGGAGCTTTCAGTAACAGGTAAGCTGGAGAGGTGAAGATGAGGAGCCACAGTTTGAATTTGAGACGAACTGTGGCCGGGACTGAGATCCCGTGGCGGGAGGCCGTCTCAGGTGAGAGCAGCCCTGTTTGCAAAAGCACTCCCAAGAGACAAAGGCAAGCCATGAGCCACTCCTTACAGAAGGTCACTCTTGGTCCCTAGAGATGTGTTCACAAGTCATCCTCCAAAGCACAACTTTATTTCCAGAAAGGAAAGGGCACAAAAAAATAGGACTGTCCTGTGCAGATGTCCAACAGCCTCAATGTGGGGACCAAATGCCCCCTAGCCATTAGAAAGACAGCTCTTGGAAGTTCCACTCCTCGGTGCACTCACCCATGCATTCGTGTTTCCCGAGTGCCTGCTCGGTGCTGGGACAGCTGAGGATGGACGTTCCCGCCATCGTGCGCTGGAGGACACAGGCGAACACTTAAACAGTGACACAGTGTGGCAGGGGTCACAGTGACGGCTGCTGTAGGGTGGCTGTGGGTGCGTGAAGGACCCCAACGCTTCATTCTGCAAAGCCGAGGACAAACCTCGGCTCAGACTCCTTCCCGAAGCCTCCCATGTTCAACTGTTCTTCATCCGGGAGCCCCGCACTGCTCCCAGCGAAGCTGAAGAAGCTCATTCAGGTCCAGCATACCCCAAGTTCTCTCCCCTTACGCAGACTGACAGCTTTACTTACAGAATTCACTTCAATTTATGACAAAAACTGTACTAGAACTTATCACAAAACTAACTTTATTATATTTTTTCCCCGTTAGATTTTTGTGTTAATTATCTTCACTGTCCTGGTGACTTCTGGTTCTTATTTTCTTGATGCATACAATGTCCTCAGCCTGTGTGGGAAGAAGAACAGAACTCTTAAGTCATTTAAACACCCATTTTCATAATGGACCCTCCTCTGCAAAACCCCAAAGGCATGCTAGGTATTACGCAGGTCCTTAGTTGTAGAAAATTGATTTTGAGGTTGGAAATAAGTTTTAAAACATATTCCATTAGGGTTGTTTTTTTCTTGACTTAAACTGCTTTTATTATGCAGTTTTTTACACTTAAATACTGTGATCTTTTCATACAAAAGTTCCTAATGCATTTTTAAGCTGACAAATAATAAAATTTCTTCATCAATGCACACATTTTCAAAAACTAAACAATGTCGCTCAGAAAAAGTGAGCTCAACCAGGATCGAGTCTTTTGGTTCTCCTAAACCGAGCAGCCCCTGTGGACAGAACCATCCCCACCTCGCATGGATGGGGACCGGCCTTGGCTGTCACTCTTGCAGTGTTTTTCACCTCTTGGCTAAGCGCGGGGGGGACCATGGTGAAAAACATGGCTATAAGCTTCTTACTGGAAAAAAATCTATCTTACATATGCATTTTCCGGGCCTACCAACACCCAGTGAAGAACACAGCGATAGAGGAGCGTGTCGGAGGTCTCCCGGGTGCTTGCGTGTGAGAAAGGGCTGGAACGACCCCAGCAGAACACACATCAGGCTGAGCCAGGCCTGGTTACCCTGTGTTTAGGAATCACCCTAGTTAAAAGATTTGCTTTTACCCTTCTTTGGTTTCATTCTGATAAAGCCGCACCTTCCAGAACGTGAATTTGGCAAGGGTTTGGAGCCTGAGTTTGATGTAAGACTGAACGGGACAACGTGCCGACCCACATCAGCTGTGTACCCGGTGTCCCTGTGATCTCTAGGACCCTGTCTGGCACTATCAGGTGTCTTCTGCTTCCGGCCTGTCCCAGAAGTACAGTCTCTGACTTAGGACACCGGCGTGGGCATCAGCGTCCTCCCTGAGCCTCTCCTCCTCTTCCCTCTATGGAACAGCTATAGGCATTTCCCAACTAGGACTTCCCGCTACATAGCCAGGCAGCCAGTCGAAGGGGGACTTGTGTGTCTGGCTGCCTGGCTATGTAGCAGGTACCGGGGACACCTGGGAACCTTTCATCTTCTTGGTAGCTGAAGCGTCCTAGTTTGTGCTGAAGACGGTCTGTCAGTGGACAGCTGTACTCGCCAGAATTCTGTATCTGAGAGGTTATTGCTACATGAGTTTCGCTTGCTGAACTCAAAATATGGCAGTTTAAGGCCCAAATTTTGTGTGTGCTAAGAATTAAATTTATACCACTCACAAAAAGGTAGCAATTCAACCTATCTTTATTTTAGCTAAACCAAGTATTCCCCAAAAGAACACTAATGAAATTTAATCCTTATTATGGATTTGTCCACGTGATAGTAATTATGAGTGGCTAAACTTGATGTGATTTCCGTAGCACTTAAAGCTCATTAGCTTAGGCAGTCTCTGGCTGGAGGAGGGGTGGAGGGCAGAGGCACCTCCCACTGATCAGGAACTCTCACATAATGGGTGTGTGCCTCAGGGACGCCTCAACCTCTGTTCCTTCCACCTTTCCAAAGAATTCCTTGGAAAATTTTCTCTTTCAATAGTTGTTTTTTTGTTTGTTTGTTTGGTTGGTTGGTTGGTTTTGTTTGGTTTTGTTTTTCGGAAATAACTTTTCTCTTTCAATAGATTTTTGTGAACTACAGAAAGGCTGAAGACATCTACCTACAATTGTGTCATGAGATACATCATAAGCAGTCAGAAATTAGCCACTAGACAAATTCCTTTTCTTCCTGAAGAAAGTCTTCATAATGTGAATTTGCTATTTTACGTGGAATTCTCAAAACAAACACAACAAAATAGAACTAAAATGACAAAATATATGTCTTAGCTTAATATTCCTTCCACTAATGTAACTGGGAGCTGGCAGAGTGCTGTTAATGTTTTTGGTTTACCTTTGCAACCTTGGGCAAAAATACGTCAAAACATTCTGTCTCTTTGAAAAAAGAAAAATGGTAAATGGCTTACCTTCTTCGGATTTTCTGCACACCTCTTGACACCCCGCGTGACTCTCTGTGCAGATTCACTCTCCAAAGCGCTTGCTGCAGACTGGCTTTTGGTCTTCCTTAATCTCAAATGCACGGAGTCTGAAGGTCCTGCTTCTCCTTTCCCTTCCTGATTCTGCACGAGAATCCCCGTGCTCTTCGGCCCTTCACTCTCCTCCGCCACCTTAGGCTGGGAGCTCTTATTCTGTCTAACAGACCTCAAGCACCTTTTGTTTTCACCGGCTTTGCCTCTAGGTATGGCTTTCTGGGCTCCGTCATCTGGACTCTGCATGTCCATCTCTTGGGAGGTCTTCATGGGCTTCTTTGCATTTCTGTTTACTTTCATTCTTTCTGCTAATATAAGGACCTCAGTTGTAGGCTGTTCTACATCTGTCTTCTTTTGGCGTCTGGCACGCAGAGACATTCCCTAAAGAAATGAGAAGACATCCACAAAATTCCAATAATTAGCAAAACAAACTTCAAAATTGAACAGGGAGAACAATCAACAGTAAACTAAAAGGAGAAATCATTTGAAAATTACCCACTGATGAATTTTCTAAGAGACCTAGCATCTAAGGTAACGCCTTGGTACTTTGTTCCTATGGAGAAATGACTGTCTATGCTGACAAATTATAAATAAGGAATTCAGGATAAATTTCAATCACGATGCCTAATGAGATATTGGTCAAATCTAATTTTTACAGTTTACATTATAGAAAGAAGCTCCGTTATTCATTCATTTACAGGGAGTACATGAATTTCTATTCCTTTAACGATCACTGCTAAGACGGAATAGGAAAGTGTCATTTCTGGGGTTTTTCCAAACTTCTCTGCATGTAGCAGGAACCTCTCTATCTAACAGTCCAGACAGTTTAGACCTTCTCAAGAATACGCACTCCCTGTTGATACTGTTCTGATAGTTAAAACAGTGACATAGATAGTATTTTTAACCCAGTACTAGTGATAGTATCTAGAACACAGAACTGAACCACCCACCTGTCCTCTGATAAATTTTTTAAACATCTGAAGATGAACATTACTCATTTGGCTCCTGAGAAACAAGTTTGCATTAATCATTTTTGACTAGTTCTTTTCCCAAATTAGTCTACTCCTTCTACGGATCCCAAGAAGATTCTTTGCCGTGGTCTGCAGTTATTCACTGTGTTGAATGAAACCGTTTGGGGAAAGGATAACCACTTATAAAGTCAGATTACATGCAAATTATAACACAGAAATTGACAACTATCCAAGATGATATTGAGTGATGCTGTAATACTCCCTCCCTCTCACCTTATTTGCAGGGACCGAGTCTTGTAATTTGTGTTCTTCTTTGTTGGTGTTCATGCTGTGGCTGTTTGGCTCTTCCACAGGTTCACTTCTTTCTGCAGAAGTTCGCAAGCTTCTCTTCATGACGACCAAGGGTTCGGGTGACTTGGCTCTCACCCTGGGAGGAACCCTCTGCTTCTTGCTGGCCGGCAGCTCCTCCACGATTTCCTCTGGCACAGGCATAAAGCGCAGCCTCTTGGTTCCTGTGACTCTTCCATCTTTTCCACATCCCCTCTTGCAGGGCGGTGGGGGCAGGGAAGAGTTGCCTTTCCTTTGTGATTTTACAAGGTCTCTGGTGCCTACCTGGTCTCCCACGGGTTCTACTTTAGAGGCCCGAAGAACTCTTCTGGATATTTTTAGAGGTTTTCCACTGACAGATGTTTGCTTTGGAGTGCCCGTAAAGCTATCAGCACCATTTGCCAGCTCCTCAGTGTGGCCTGGTGTTTGAGAGAACTCTTGAAAGCTGGCCAGATCTTCTGGGGGTTGGGCCTTTTCCTTAGGTGCTCGTGGCCGTCTCCTGTTGCCAGTGACATTTTCTGGGTCCAGCTTCCGCTTTGCGGGTTGCTTAAATGCTTTCACCCCATTGCCTTCACCTGCTGGTTCTTTGTCGGTGTGCGTGGTCTTGCCTGATGCCGGTGTGAGCTGGCCGGCTGCTAAGGGCTCTTCTTTCACTTCTGCTTTCTGGGCACGTGTCCTGGGCCGTCTCTTTGAGCTTGTTGCAGTGTCTACTGGTTCTGGCAATGATTTGCAGGTTATTTCAGTGGTTTTGTCATCAGTCAGAGATTCTTTAGGGTGAGCTGGTGCTGGGTCTTGGAAGCCAGCCAGGTCTTCTAGGGCGTGGGCATTTTCCCTGGGTACTCTTGGCCGTCTCCTGCTGCCAGTTACACATGCTGCTGGAGCCAGTGTCTGCTTTGCGGATTCCTTAGATGCTTTAATGCCTTTATCTTTACCTACTGATGCTTTGTCTGCGTCCGCCGTTTCCCCTGATGTCTGTGTGAACTTGCCGGCTGCTGATGGCTCTTCTTTCACTTCTATCTTCTGGGCATGTGTCCTGAGATGCCGCTTGGTGCTTGTTCTGGTATCTACTAGTTCTAGTGGGGGAGATTTGCAGGGCATTTTAGCGGCTTTGCCAGTAGGCAGTGATCCCTGAGTGTGACCTGGTGTTTCAGAAAGCTCTTTGAAGCCAGCCAGGTCTTCCAGGGCTCGGGTCTTTGCCTTAGGTGCTCTTGGCCTTCTCCTGCTGGGTTCCTCTCCTCCTGGGGTCGGTGTCTTCTTGGCACGTTGCTTGAAGACTTTGATGCCTTCACCATCACTCGCTGGTTCTGTGTGTGTATGTGCGCTTTGCCCTGATGTTTGTGTGAGCTTCTGAACTGCTGAGAGCTCCTCTCTCACTTCTTTCCGGAGACGTGTCCTGGGGCATCTCTTTGTGTTCTTGGCAGTGTCTGCTGGCTCTGGTGGGGAAGATTTGCAGGGAATTTTGGTGTTTTTATCAGTAGTCATGGACTCTTCAGTGTGACCTGGTGCTGGAATGAGCTCTTTGAAGACACCTGGGTCTTCCAGAACGTGGGCCTTTTCCTTACGAGTTCTCAGCGGCCTCCTGCTACCAGTTACACTTGCTGCTGGGTCCATGATCTGCTTTGGAGACTCCTTAAAGGCTCTGATGCTCTTACTACCTCCTGTTGGCTCTGTTTGTGTTTGTGCAGTCTTCCCTGACGTCCGTGTGAGCTTGCCGACTGTGAGGAGCTCTTCTTTCATGCCCGCTTTCACCAGGGATACCTTGAGCCGTTGCCTAGAGCTTCTTGAGGTTTTGAATGGCTCTGGCTGTGGAGATTTGCATGATACTCCTGTGATCTTGTCATCAGTCATTGATTCCTCAGTGTGATCTGGTGTCTGGAAAAGCTCTTTGAAGCCAGCCAGGTCCTCGAGAGCCTCAGCCTTTTCCTTAGGAATTTGTGGCCATCTCTTGCTACCAGGTAAATTTCCTGGCAAGTCCAGTTTCTGCACTAGAGTTTCCACAAATGTGTTCATGTTTTTCTCATCGCTTACTGCTGGTTTCGGTGTGTGCATGGCTTTGCGTGCTGATGGCGTTAGCTTCCTGAGTGCTGAAAATTCTTCCTCTACTTCTGCTTTCCTGAGACTTCTCTTGGGCTGTTGAATTGTGCTTGTTGGGGTGTCCACTGGATCTGGTTGTGGAGATTTGCAGTGCATTTTGGTAGTTTTCTCGTCAGTAGTGGGCTTGTCTGTGCCTGGCGTCTGGAAGAGCTCTTTAAAGCCAGCCAGGTCGTCTAGAGCCTGGGCCTTTTCCTTAGGCGTTTGTGGCCGTCTCTTGCTGCCAGGTAAATTTCCTGGCAGGTCCGCTTTCTGCACTGGAGTTCCCATCAATGCTTTCATGTCTTCCTCAGCACCTGCTGCTGGTTTGGGTGTGTGCATGGCTTTGCCTGCTGATGTTTTCCTGAGGGCTAAGAATTCTTCCTCTATGTCTGCTTTCCCGAGACTTCTCTTGGGCTGTGCCTGGAAGCTTGTTGGGGTGTCCGCTGGGTCTGGTTGTGGAGATTTGGAGGCTATTCTGGTAGTTTTCTCATTAGTCCTGGGCTTACCAGTGCCTACTGGTGTCTGGAAGAGCTCTTTCAAGCCGGTCAGGTCTTCTAGGGATTGGGCCTTTTTCTTAGGAGTTCTCAGCTGCCTCTTGCTGCCAGTTACACTTGCTGCTGGGTCCAGTTTCTGCTTAGCAGTTTCCTTCAACGCTTTGATGCCTGTATCCGCACCTCCTGGTGCTTGGTCTGTGTGTGTGGTTCCCCCTGGTGTCTTTGTGAGCCTCTTCAGGGCTGAGAGCTCTTCCACTGCATTCCTTTTCCCCAAAGGTGTCTTGGGCCGCCTTCTTGTGCTTGTTGGGGTGTCCACTGACTCTGGTGGTGGAGATTTGCAGGGTATGTTGGTAATTTTGTCATCAGTCTTTGATTCCTCAGTGTGACCCGGTGTCTGGAAAAGCTCTTTGATGCCAGCCAGGTCTTCTAGTGATTGGGCCTCTTCCTTAGGTGTTCTTGGCCACCTCTTCATCCCAGTTACATAGTCTGCTGAGTCCAGCATCTGCTTTGCAGACTCCTTAAATGTTCTAATGCTCTTGCCATCACGTGCTGGCTCTGTGTGTGTGTGCATGGTCTCCCCTGACATCTGCGTGAGTCTGACGACTGCTAGGACCTCTTCTTTCACACTTGCTTTCCCGAGGGATGTCTTGAGCCGTCGCTTGGAGCTTGTTGGGGTTTTGACTGGGTCTGGTTGTGGAGATTTGCAGGATACTTTTGCAATTTTGTCAGTAGTTGTTGATTCCTCAGTGTGACCTGGTGTCTGGAAGAGCTCTCTGAAGCCAGCCAATTCTTCCAGAGCATGGGCCTGGGCCGTCTCCTTAGGGGTTTGTGGCCGTCTCTTGCTACCACGTAAATTTCCTGGCAGGTCCGGTTTCTGCACTGGAGTCACCACAAAGGCGCTATCTTTCTCTTCGCCAACTGCTGGTTTAGGTGTGTTCATGACTTTCCCCGCTAATGGTGTTAGTTTCCCGAGTGCTGAAAATTCTTGCTCTATGTCTGCTTTCTTGAGACTTCTCTTTGGTCGTTGCTTTGTGCTTGCTGGGGTGTCCACTGGGTTCAGTTGTGATTTGCAGGGTATTTTGGTGGTTTTCTCGTCAGTCGTGGGCTTATCAGCGCATGGCGTCTGGAAGAGCTCTTTGAAGCCAGTCAGGTCTTCTAGAGCCTGGGCCTTTTCCTTAGGAGTTTGAGGCCGTCTCCGGCTGCCACGTAAATTTCCTGGCAGGTCCGGTTTCTGCACTGGAGTTCTCATCAATGCATTGATGTCTTTCTCTTCACTTCCTGCCGGTTTGGGTGTGGGCGTGGCTTTGCCTGCTGATGGCGTTAGTTTCCTAAATGCTAAAAATTCTTCTTCTACATCTGCTTTCCTGAGACTTCTCTTGGGCTGTGGCTTGGAGCTTATTGGAGTGTCCACTGGGTCTGGTGGTGAAGAGCTGTAGGGTATTTTTGTAGTTATTTCATTAGTCATTGATTCCTTAGTGTGACCTGGTGTCTGGAAGAGCTCTTTGAAGCCAACCAGGTCTTCAGGGACTTCAGCCTTTTCCTTAGAATTTTTTGGCTGCCTTTTGCTGCCAGTTAGACTTGCTGCTGGGTCTAAGATCTGCTTTGGGGACTCCTTAAATGCTCTGATGCTCTTGCCATCTCCTGTTAACTCTGCGTGTGTGTGTGTCGTCCCCACTGGCATCTGTGTGAGCTTGCCGACTGCTAGGAGCTCTTCTTTCTCACCCACCTTCCCCAGGGATGTCCTGAGCCATTGCTTGGAGCTTGCTGGGGTTTTGTCTGGGTCTGGTTGTAAAGAGTTGCAGGCTATCCTGGCAGTTTTTTCATTAGTCATTGATACCTCAGTGTGATGTGGTGTCGGGAAGAGCTCTTCGAGGCCAGCCAGGTCTTCTAGAGCCTGGGCCTTTTCCTTAGGAGTTTGTGGCCGTCTCTTGCTGCCAGTCAAGTTTTCTGGCAGGTCCAGTTTCTGCACTGGAGTTCCCACAACTGCATTAATGTTTTTCTCATCATCTACTGCTGGCTTGTGTGTGTGCATGGCTTTGCCTGCTGATGATGTTCGTTTCCTGAGGGCTGAGAATTCTTCTACATCTGCTTTCCTGAGACTTCTCTTGGACTGTGCCTGGAAGCTTGTTGGGGTGTCCACTGGGTCTGGTTGTGGAGATTTGCAGACTACTTTGGAAGTGTTTTCATCAGTCGTGGGCTTATCAGTGCCTACTGGTGTCTGGAAGAGCTCTTTCGAGCCGGTCAGGTCTTCTAGGGATTGGGCTTTTCTCTTAGGAGTTCTCAGCTGCTTCTTGCTGCCAGTTACACTTGCTGCTGGGTCCAGTTTCTGCTTACCAGTTTCCTTCAACGCTTTGATGCCTGTATCCTCACCTCCTGGTGCTTTCTCTGTGGGTGTGGTTCCCCCTGGTGTCTGTGTGAGCTTCATCAGGGCTAAGAGCTCTTTCTCTACATCTCTTTCTCCCAAAGTTGTCTTAGGCCGCCTTCTTGTGTTTGTTGGGGTGTCTGCTGATTCTGGTGGAGAAGATTTGCAGGGCATCTTAGTGGTTTTGCCAGTAGCCACTGCTCCCTCAGTGTGAACAGGGGTCTGGAGGAGCTCTTTGAAGCCAGCCAGGTCTTCTAGAGCCTGGGCCTTTTCCTTAGGAGTCTGTGGCCGTCTCTTGCTTCCGATTAAGTTCTCTGGCAGGTCTAGTTTCTGCACTGGAGTTCCCACAAATGTGTTGATGTCTTTCTCTTCACTTACTGCCGGGTTAGGTGTGTGCATGGCTTTCCCTGCTGATGGCATTAGTTTCCTGAGTGCTAAGAATTCTTCCTCTATGTCTGCTTTCCTGAGACTTCTCTTGGGCCGTTGCTTTGTGCTTGTTGGGGTGTCCACTGGGTCTGGTTGTGGAGATTTGCAGCACATTTCAGGGGTTTTGCCCGCAGCCACTGATTCCTCAGTGCGACCAGGAGTCCGGAAAAGCTCTTTAAAGCCAGCCAGGTCTTCTAGAGCCTGGGCCTTCTCCTTAGGAGTCTGTGGGTGTCTCTTGCTGCCAGGTAAATTTCCTACCAGGTCCAGTTTCTGCACTGGAGTTCCCATCAATGCTTTCATGTCTTCCTCAGCACCTGCTGCTGGTTTGGGTGTGTGCATGGCTTTGCCTGATGGCGTTAGTTTCCTGAGTGCTAAGAATTCTTCCTCTGCGTCTGCTTTCCTGAGACTTCTCTTAGGCCGTTGCTTTGTGCTTGTTGGGGTGTCCGCTGACTCTGGTGGAGATTTGCTGGGTATGTTGGTAGTTTTGTCATCAGTTATTGATTCCTCAGTGTGACCTGGTGTCTGGAAAAGCTCTTTGAAGCCGGCCAGGTCTTCCAGTGATTGGGCCTCTTCCTTAGGCATTCTTGGCCACCTCTTCATTCCAGTTATATAGGCTACCGGGTTCGGAGACTCCTTAAATGTTCTAATGCTCTTTCCATCTCCTGCTGGCTCTGTGTGTGTGTGTGTGGTCTCCCCTGGTGTCTGTGTGAGCTTGCCGACTGCAAGGCGCTCTTCTTTCACACCCACTCTCCCCAGGGATGGCTTGGGCCGTTGCTTCACGCGTGTTGGGGTGTCTGTTGGTTCTGGCTGTAATGCCTTGCAGGGCGTTTTAGTGATTTTGCCCTTCTCACTGTCTGGTGCCTCGGCATGATCTTGGGTTTGGAGGAGCTCCTGGCCATGAGCCTTGTCTTTCGTGGGTTCTGCGTCAGGCAAGCTTTTGAGGTCGGTTAGGTCAGACACTCGTTCACCTCTCTGCCCCCAGGTTCTTCTTGATCTCTTCACGGCTTTCATCTTTTCAACGTTTTCTTTCAATTCGATATTTTCCTTACACGTCTCGAAGGGTCTTTCGATTTCCTTCATCTCTCCTCCTCTCTTCCACTGCAGTGGTGATGTCTTCTGACACCTTCCCGGGATGCGGTTCACAACGCCAGCATTTGCGTCTTCACTCTTACTTTCAGCAGGTAGCTTCTGTACATTTCTGAGCTCGGTAGACCTTCTTAACTTGTTTGCACTGGATATCGTCTTTGAAGGCTCTGTCTCGGCGTCTGAGGTCTTCATCTCCACAGAAGTCATTTTGTAGGTGATCCTAGGAGTTTTTGCTGTGTTTCCATTTTCTCTAATACTCGGCCGTGTTAAGGTAGGGCTTACAGAACAGCTATCAGACAGTTCTTTTGCTGCATTCTGTGTACTGAAGAACGCATTTCCTCCTGAAATAAGAACATCTATAATAAATACATTTTATGAGTGTCTTATGTCAATCTGGTATTATAGCTTCATAAAATACAGTAAAAAACTAAATTCATATCTACTTAACGATATGAGGCTACTTAAGTGTCTATAAATCTGTCTTATATAAAAGCCATGCACAATTAAGAATAATGCTATTTAGTGCTACAGTGAAGGCATCATTAAACAAAAGTTAGACGCTACAAGGATTACAGAAGGCAAAAATATGGCTTAAGAAGGATGCTCCAAAAGTTGCCATGCCCTGTGTCACTGACATTAATATAGGCATTTTTTTTTCTTTAACCATTAGAAACAAACAGCTGTTTCTTGCCTTAAATCACCAATAAAATAACATGGGTTATCCTTGTGTCGTTAGGGTCCATATCACACAGGAAATATTCACCTACCGCAAACATCTTCAGAGTAGCAAGCTGTTCTTTCTATGACAGGAACTCAGTAACCAGTGCCAAATGAGAGATTAGACAGATTCTCATCTCCCATCTCACACTCAACCCGGGCCTGCTCCCACCTAAAAGGTTAGCAGGAATAATTGCACAGTATATAAACTGTTGTCTTTCTGCTTTGTAATTTGCAGTAATTTTGAATTTGAATAATTTATATGTAAGTATGGTGAGATATCATTGTACTTTTTTGCTATGTCTTCCTGGTTACTTAAAGAAGCCAAAAGTGTCCACAGGTCATCTACACATATTAACAGAGTCTTTCATTCTCTGTAAGTCAACGAATGCCAGTGTTAGTTCAACTGCTGATTGAAATCCCCCTTTCAATTAGAACAGAGCAGATGGAAATGGCATTTTGTGCCAGGAACATTTGTTTTGGAGAAGTAATATCCTACTGCGTGCAAAAGATAATACTGCTCGTTCCCATCCCAAAACATCACCGTGGTAGGAAAAAAGAAAACCAACCAAAACTCTCCGAGGTGGGGAGCAAAGCTTCTTCTCCTGAATTAGTTACTTGAACCTTTTTTCCCAGCAAATTCTCTGAATTTGAAACAGCGATGTGGCATGTGCTTGTCAGCTGTGGTTGCTCCTTCACTGGGGTCTTGAACATTTCAGCTATTCCTGTTAAATGAAAATATTTGAAAAGTGATTAACATATTGCTACCATTCAAACAACCATACCAGTCCTCACATGTAACATGCAAATAGTGTGAAATAATAGTAGATTCCTCCCTAGAATTCCTGGTGCATAGGCCTCATAAAAAGGGTGATTCCCTTAATAATGTACTTAGTGTGTAAAAAAGAGAGCAAAGAGAAGATATGTTACGTTCTTTACTTTGCTTTTCTTGGGAAGGAAACAAATGAAGTTAGTTGTACTTTGTGGTAGGTCTTCCTAACTAGTCCTCACACACGGAAGCTGGTGATGGACTCCTAGGACCTACAGGCCTCCCGGCTGCGATCTAAAATCCAAATGCCAAGCCGGACGCGGTGGCTCAAGCCTGTAATCCCAGCACTTTGGGAGGCCGAGGCGGGTGGATCACGAGGTCGAGAGATCGAGACCATCCTGGTCAACATGGTGAAACCCCGTCTCTACTAAAATTACAAAAATTAGCTGGACATGGTGGCGCGTGCCTGTAGTCCCAGCTACTCAGGAGGCAGAGGCAGGAGAATTGCCTGAACCCAGGAGGCGGAGGTTGCGGTGAGCCGAGATCGCGCCATTGCACTCCAGCCTGGGTAACAAGAGCAAAACTCCGTCTCAAATAAATAAATAAATAAATAAATAAATAAAATAAAATCCAAATGCCTTCATGCTTCTCAAACTCTTGGGTGCTCAGTTCTAGGTTTTAAGTACAAATAACGTGTGCCCACATTTTAGAAAATGACAAAGGGCTGCCCATTTTTAGTACTGTCACTTAAAAATACATATATATTTTTAAAATCTACTTATCATTATCATTCCATTTTAACACCGAGAAGCAGTACTGGCATAATCTCAGGAAAAAAAATAGTAACAAAGCAGTTTATATAGAAGTTGTAACTTTCAGCCGGGCGCGGTGGCTCACGCCTGTAATCCCAGCACTTTGGGAGGCCGAGGCGGGTGGATCACGAGGTCAAGAGATGGAGACCATCCTGGTCAACATGGTGAAACCCCGTCTCGACTAAAAATACAAAAATTAGCTGGGCATGGTGGCGCGTGCCTGTAGTCCCAGCTACTCAGGAGGCTGAGGCAGGAGAATTGCTTGAGCCCAGGAGGCGGAGGTTGCGGTGAGCCGAGATCGCGCCATTGCACTCCAGCCTGGGTAACAAGAGCGAAACTCCGTCTCAAAAAAAAAAAAGTTGTAACTTTCTGCAAAACTCCTCTCACCCCATGTTCTCCTTACTCGTATCATTCTGGCCTCATCGGATGCAAGTGATATTTCAGCCTCACAGCCATACACAAAACGTTCAGGGAAAGCCTGTTCTGAAGCCTCCCTTCCAAACCAGTCCATTCACAAAAGTCTCCCCTTCTACTTAAAGCCTAGGGTTTAGTCTTCAGCAGATGCTGTTTTGCAATGAGATGTACTCATACCGACCAACAGGTGAGAAATGCTTGACTCCAGGAAAACATCTTAAAAGAAAGCATGCTGGGGACAATCCACTGTCCCATACACTGAATACTTAACAGTTTTTTTTTAAAGTATTTTTGAGGGTTTGTTTTTAACATTTTGTAACATGCGTATTAGAACATTCATACATGTCCGTCATTTATAAACCTACTCCTAGATACATATCTATATTTTTGTTTTGGTTTTGCATTTCTGTCTTCTTGGTTTTTTTTAAAAAAATAAATCAACTGCTTCAAATCTGACTCATCAGACGGTACCTTGCGTCCATTACAGAGGAGTACAGCTCTCACAACTACTCAGTCTGCCAGAAAACAAAAACAAAGTTTCCCTGTTCAACTCCCACCACCCTTCCGAACTGCACACGGTAGAAACTACTGGGCAAATTACACAACACAAAACCTACAGTCGCTCTCCTGCCGCCAGCCCCATCTGCTGAATCATCCCCACTTTAGCAAGTCAGGCCACACTTCCTTGAGAGTGGGAATTGAGTGCAAATATTTCTACAATAATCAATTGTTTACAGGAATTTTCTCATAGGGCTTTCTTTCAAGAAAGTTAAGCTGCCTAAAAAGTAAATCCTGAAGAAGCAAAATGTTGCTCATAAACAACTGATCGACACCTGGGACAAACTGTTAGTGTAGCTGGAGGTAACAAGTTATGTCTCTTCCCTGTAAAGCACCTTCCAGCTTTCTACGTATACGCTGCTCTCCAGGGTAAAGATATGCATTTGACATTCCCACACCTATTTCACACAGGACATGTGATCCCCAAAATTATCAGAGACTTGTCCTTGCAAGCCAAACCAGCTTTATCTCCCCTGAATGCTATGACCCCAGAAAGTTGACTCAGTCATTTATTTTACAATCCCTTTCACAGCAGATAAACAAAGAGAGCAACCCAAACATTAACGCAATAAAAAATAGTAGGGTCAAAAGATGTATCAGATCTAAGGCTGTGTTTTTACCTGAAAGATCTTCCTTAAAGTCCCTTTTTTGGTTGGAAATGAAGTTGTTGAGCATTCTGTAGGGTTGAGCAGGCACATGTACCTTTTCAGTATGAGCTTTCCCTATTATTATGGTACAAGGAGAGTTTGCATGGCCTGTACTAAATTGACTGTGAACATCACCCGCAGGCTTCTGTAGAGAACGGGAAAGAGGTAAACAAGACATTAAAGCAGAAATCCACACTGAATGCAAGCTTCGGCCACCGGTATCGTAAAGCAGCCGCTCCCGGTGAGGCCCCTACCTTTGGAGTGGCAGGTCTTCTTTGTCTTTTGATCACTGACCTTTGAGGGCCATGTTTTACGACTTTAGTCTGTGTTTGTTTTGCACCAAGTTTTACTACATCCGCCCACGATTTTGCAACTGTCAAAGGGAAAAGAAGATGAAACTTTTCAAAAACCAGCATTCATGAAAAAAATTCACCTTAACATATGTGTTCTAATGCAAGACTAACCAATGAGATTGGCCTCAGAGGCACCGCTTCGTCGTTTGGAACATATCATCTGTAAAATACCATGTTGGCTGCGCCTGAGAGACACTCTCTTTGAAGGCAGGTTGCCGCTCTTTCTCCCTCCTCTCTTAGAAACCTCTGTCTGAGATTTGCTGCTGGAAGCAGGGGCTGCTTGGCAGGACCTACGATCATTGGCAACTGGGGTTTTCCTAGGACTAGGGGCTGGAGGGCTTGTGACCAAGCTTTGTGCCATCACTTCCAAATGGATTTCTGAAGTCGACTGTTGTTCTCCTGATGGTTGAGGCTGTTCCTGATAAGACAAAATTGTTCACAAGAAGCCTTAACAAGGATGTAACATCACTGGAATGACTGATAAAGACCTGTTAAGAATTTCAGCTGTTTAAATCCTGAAGCATCAAATCCTTAAGCCACTGTCTTTCAAGACGATGGTGGAGGTGAGACTGGCCCAGTCATTTAAGGGAAAAAAAGGAACGGAAGTAAGCCAAGTCTGAACTGAGGTCATTTCAGGTAGAAAGATGGAAGAAACATCCTGATCAGTTTAAAGACAGGCAGGGTCTGATCTCAGCCCCAGTAAAGACCAGCCGTGGGCACGCAGCCCCTGGCAGTCCACATGGAAGGAGGCTGCTTGCCCCTGGGACCAGTGTAAAATCGAAATGGAGCCAGGCATCACTTTCTGCTCCTGCTTGGAAGAGAAGAAAAGAAAGACTGCCCAGGCCCTATTACAAAGCTACAGGGCCATGGCTTCCCAGGGGTGTAAAACCCAGAAAAGACAACACAGCAAAAGAACAGGTAAGCAAATCGTTCTAAAAAGCTGAGGGTGTAAAATGTTGACGTGCCATTGATGATTTTCCTTTACACCAGGTAAATGCCTTAACTATAGCCTTGTAACTCTAAAAGAAACTAAAAGCGTCCTTATGGCTCAATGTGGTGATGTATCCAGAATTTTTGTAATTGGCTGTCGTGACAGTGCCTGCAGGTGATTACCTGGTGCTGTAAGTGTGGATGTCCAGGAACTTCTGCACTAAAAGGGCAGTACCAAGGACTCCCGCTACTTGGTCATCAGCACCACGGTCAGGGACCCGGGGGCTCCTTTGCTGGCACCCACATCAATGAGCTTTTATTTCATCTTGTTTAATACGTGTTTCTTAAAAACCTAAATAAATAAAGGTCTTCATCATGATTCCACCTGTGTCAGAATTTGGAAAGGAATATGGACCCAGTGTGTGAGCCGCTGGATGTGAATGAGAATGCTAATTGTTCAACTCACCTTGATGATTTTCTTCAGGACAGGTGGAGTGTGCACTACCAGAGACTTTCTTTTGGTTGGGGTTTCTCCTCTTTTGAGAGGCGTATTAGGAGGCAAGTTTTCATCGAATAATTCAGGTCTTAGGTGCCCACCAAAGGACACACGCCTCCTTTTCAAAGGCATTCCCTCACTCTTATCTAAATGAATACAAACGTGGAAAGAGCAATGAAAAAACATACCAAGATTAGTGATTTATTTCACATGAGCATTAAGACTAACCAAGTGAAGTCATAGAAACATAGCACCTACAGCACTCCTCCATCCTTGCCATCCTGGGGAAGCTTAAGCCACAAAGAGTCCCTGAAGGACGGCAGGAGAGGCCACTAAGACATCCAGTTCCCACTGGACAGTACAGAGGCTTTCTTTAAAACACTGAAGCATTATGTGTGGACATGTGAAAGAGGAGTATGAAGCAGTAGCTTTCACCTTGGAGTAGGGGGATGACAGTGGGAGAGAGCTCTCTAAAGACATGCACTTGGGCCTCACCCAGTGACCAGAATACACGAGCTGTGAAAACTCTTCCAGGTGGTTCTGAGTCAATTCACAGGAGCCCAGCCTCAATTATACATTTTCCTGAGCCACCAGCTAACATGCATTCCTTGTCTAAGTGATGCTTCCCCTTTATGAGGCTTGGTGGAAAGCTAAGACTGATATTACAGGCCTTATTTTATTGATAGCCTCATGCCCCACCACTATGGGCCACCTGCAGAAACAGCTTGATAGTACGATTACTGCGTCCACGGCCTGGACAACTTTTCTAAAAGCCAATCCTGAGGAGTATAGGAAGCTCCCAAGGAGCTACCACACCTGCTACAAAGGTCTTATCTCTGCCACTCACTGGGTGGCCTTGGGTTGTCAGTTTCCTCATTTGTGACATAGATCTAAAAAGAAAACCTAGCCATGAGCACTCCTGCAGCACCAAGAATCAAGTGTTAATGTCTAAGAAGCATTTAGAAATTTGCCTGGCATATAAACTCATGGGTAGGGTCCAGTGTTTACAGTAAATTGTTTGTAGGACACTCTGAAAACAGAGTATAAACACCTGAGAACTACCACTATATTCAATGATTTCCAGTGATTTATTCCAAATGACCAAACTCATAGGATACAGTTGATTGTAGTTCAGAATTCAACTCCATGTGAAAAGCAATTTTGAGTATTCTCTTTTCTGTTTTGTGACAGATGGAGGAGAATGGACTATGTTGGGGGCCACCTTACCTCCTTCAATAACCCCTGCTTCATGCTTCCCTGACAACCGCCGCCTCCTGTCATTCCTTGTTATAATTACCTAGGCCTTCGGTACTAAGCTATCAGCGGAAACAGTGCCCATGTCTGTCCTGTCCCTGTGCCCTAAGTGCTTAATACTCTCTTCCACAGCGCCAGTCACTACTGAATGAACGAAGGTCTCACTGCTTCACGGCTAAACAGAAGCTGTTCATCTTTTAGAAGAAATAAATTTACAATGAAATAAACTTACTAAGGGAATCATCAAAGTTGCTGATATCAACTGCACTAAGACCAGGTAACTCAGGGCACATCTGTCCAGTTGTGGCACCCACTTTCTCAGGCCTGTGGAGGGAATCCTTTTGGATTTTCCTTTCAACTTCAGTGAGCCACAGAGTTAAAAAGGGGTCATTTTGAATTTCGGTTTCTGTAGGCGGAACTTCCACATCTGTAGGAATACTTCCTCTGGTTTTGGAAGACAGATTTCCTGGTTTAGCAGCAGAGTCGGCTGCATCTCCAACTTTAGCTGGTGTTCGATTTCTAGCTGAAAGCTTCCTGGGAGTAAGAGTTTTATCGCCAGCCTCGAAGCCTTTGTTTTTACCCAGATTCACAGATTCTCTTCTACCAGTAGTATACAGGTTTTTGTTCTTGTGTTTTTGTGGAGAATTTTGTTGCTGTGGATATTGTTCAGGGGTCTTCATTTGAGCCGGCTCATAGAGAGGAAAGCTGACGCCCACAGCCTTGCTGGGAGTCTGAACAGACTCGTCTCTTCCCTTGCCCTTGGCCTGGGCGAGCTCCTGCTCAGGTGAAGCAGGCTCTGCCACGGCGTGGCTGCTTCCACCAGATTTCGTTCTTGACTTACGTGACACCAACAGTTGTGTCTCCTGCTGTAAACCATCAGCACTTTCTTTTTCTGTTGTGTAATCAGTTTGTAATCCAGATTTTCTACAATACTGTGGAACATTTTCTTTTAGTGATTTTACATCCAACTCTTTCTTCATTGACTGATACAGCTTCCTAAAGGGAGATTCATTTTTTTGGCTATCGTCAAGACACTGTGTAGTGAAAGGAGACTTCAGTTCTCCACAATGGCTCATTAATTTTACCCTGGAAATTTCTCTAAAATCCCCAGAAATGCGATGAGCTGCATTTCTGTCATTACGTCCAGCCTGTTCTGAGGAATGAACATCAGATGTTTCCTGGGCAACAGTGTCTTCTGAGTCATCTGCAGCACTGTCTTCTTTGACAGTCTTGATATATACCTGAGGACTTCCTGAAACTTTTCCTTCAGTGATTTTTGAATAGGCCTTGGAATCTGGAGCTTTCCCATCTTGGCAATGAATTATGAAATAAGAAACAGAAGTTCAACATTTTCTCAATGGTTAACATTTGTGGAATTCAATATTTTAATTGTTTCAGACTGTCTTATAAGCTAGCTTTTACTTAGCCTACAAATTATTTAATGCCTAGAACTTGCAAATCTCAAGATATTAGTATTATAAGACAGATAAATAAATCACATTAGTTCCAATAACCAGTATGCAATATCACATGCTGTCAAACTACTGAGAACTGAGCTGGCAGCTGAACAGGCAATTTTCTTGTACCTAGAGTCTCTCCTAAGCATAGCACCCCGTCAGTCACCAAAGGAAAAGAGTTAGGCATCTGCCCTTTGTTGACACGTTAAATGACACTGCCTCCATTTCTGACAGGCTAGATGTTTAGCATTTGCATTCTTGTTGCCTTTTCTTTGCCATTATGCTTCACAAAGACCTGATCTTTCAGGATTCCAGAACAAAACCCAACCACTACTCACCAGGGTTAGAAGAGAAGCTAGATCTTGAGACACGACGTGCTGGCTCCTGTTGAGTTGGGAAAATAAGAACAGTTATTTGCAGGCCTTTCTAAATACTGACAGTCACAGTGAAAAAGTATTGATTGTTTTCTGGCCAAGCATGGTGGCTCATGCCTGTAACCCCAGCACTTTGGGAGGGCAAGGTGGGCGGATCACTTGAGGTCAAGAGTTTTGAGACCAGCCTGACCAGCGTGGTGAAACTCCATCTCTACTAAAAATAAAAAAATTAGCCAGGCGTGGTGGCCAGGTGCCTATAGTCCCAGCTACTCAGGAGGCTGAGGCAGGAGAATCTCTGGAACCCTAGCAGGCAGAGGTTTCAGTGAGTGGAGATCGTGCCACTGCACTCCAGCCTAGGCGACAGAGCTAGACTTCATCTCAAAAAAAAAAAAAAAGTTTTCTTTACCAAACCACTCCTGTATCACTTCTAAAGACTGTTTGAGAAATGAGCTCAAGTCACTTGGGAGTTTGGTCAGGATAAAAGTGCTTCTAATTGACTTGTTAAAAAACAGTGAGTGATTAACGGGAAACAAACTCAAGGCTTAAAATTATTACAATGGAACTCAGCGCATTTTTAGAACTTCTTTTAAAGTTATTTCCCAACATCATATTGTGGAAGAACCAAGTTAATATTAAACATCACCTATACTGAAGATCTGTAGCCCACCATGAACACAGAACTATGGACTGCATCATCGGTTTTCTCAGAAATGAGCCGCAGGGGCTGGGCGTGGTGGCTCATGCTTGTAATCCCAGCACTTTGGGGGGCCAAAGTGAGTGGCTCATGAGGTCGAGATGGAGACCATCCTAGCCAACAAGGTGAAACCCCATCTCTACTAAAAATACAAAAATTAGCCAGGCGTAGTGGCCCGCACCTGTAGTCCCAGCTACTGGGGAGGCTGAGGCAGAAGAATGACTTGAACCCGGGAGGTGGAGATTGCAGTGAGTAGAGATCACGCCACTGCACTCCAGCCTGGCAGCAGAGCAAGACTCTGACACAAAAAAAAAAAAGAAAGAAAAGAAATGAGCCATAGGATCTGTATATGAGCTAGCGCTCTACTCGGCACGTGTGCCCTCTTGGGTGGATCTGAGAGCCTGGATTCACCCTAAGTGGAGTCGTGGCACAGGCACACATGGAACATCCATGGGTACTGCAGCCTCCCAGCCTGGGAGCAGGTGCAGCACCCACACCTGGCTCCCCAGAGACAATGCCCTAACTTCCCTTCATGTGGAATTGTTTCTAGAAGGGTGGAAGAACTAAAGAATAACACATATACAAAACTTTTATAAAAGTCTGATGGCCCAAAAGAAGAAAAGCTTATCATCTGGATTATTAAGAAAATATCTAAAACATACTGCCAAAGGCAAAGAATCTAACTTCCTTAGTTAATTTCAAGTTTATTGATATATATCACCTTGCTTCTAAAATTATCTATGTGAGGGATAAGTTTTTTATTTCCAATCTGAAGTGGAACAAGAATCTATGACTAAACAATATAAATGAACTACTAATAAAGTTATTAATATATAAAGCATATAACCTCATTTTTGTTGATGACTATATTTAATAGCCACAAAATTGCTGTCGAATTGCTGTCATATTTCCTACCTACTTTTTAGTACTTACTTTCTCACAAACCAGCAACAGAACAAACAGTTCCTAGAATGTCGAGTGGCACATATCTAACCCACAGTTCAACTCTTTTTGGTCGACTTACTCCCATAGACTGACAAGTTGGCTGGTGACTGCAGTGTGGGATGCCTCAGAAACTGGCGTCCAGCACAGGAACTGATGAACACCAGGCTCAACATTCAGGCGTTCCTCTAGGGAAGTAGCAGTACTTAACGTGGCAGAAATGGGCTGGGCATGGTGGCTCACTCCTGCAATCCCAGCACTTTGGGAGGCTGAGGCTGGTGGATCATGAGGTCAGGAGCTCAAGACCAGCCTGGCCAATATGGTGAAACCCTGCCTCTACTAAAACTACAAATTAGCTGGGCATGGTGGTGCACACCTGTAGTCCTAGCTACTCAGGAGGCTGAGGCAGAAGGATTGCTTGAACCCAGAAGGCAGAAGTTGCAGTGAGCCGAGATCATGCCACTGCACTCCAGCCTGGGTGACAGAGCAAGACTCTATCTCGAAAAAAAAAAAAGGCAGAAATGTTGAATTTCAAGTACTTGTTGTTAATTTTAGGTGCACCTAAGATAACTCTCCTAAGCCAAGACATTCCAAGGAGCTCATATGAAACTAGCTTTAGGAGCACTCTAAAATGTAGGAAAATATAAATTCTCAGGGCTTATCCTAAGCCTAAATCCCCCTAAATTTCCAAGCATGTGCCGACAATTGTGTTTTAATAAGCTGTACAATTAAAATACCTCTCCCACACTGATGTATTCAAACAATCTAAATATCCAAGCACATGCTGATGATTACGTTTTCATAAGCTGTACAGTCAGAATACCTGTTCCACACTGATATACTCAAACCATAGGATTCTCTCACATGACAAAGCACAAGGATCCCTCTTCCCTTTTCATGGGTTGGCTGTCTATCAAAATAAAGAGGCATCTTTGGCACTAACGATTTTCATGATGTGATTATTTCAGACACACAAAGATGGAAGAGTACAATGACTGAAAGACAAAATGAGCCACCAGATAATGCAATTCCCAAATGTTAGCTCTGTGTGTTGGGGTTATCTTACCCCTGGGCTTGCAAAAAGATCTTCACATGTTCTAGTAGACTTTTTGGCCAAAAGCGTAAAACCAACTTAGTACTCTGATTTTGAATAACAAAGCGGAAATATTATTTTAGATTAGTTTAATATGTCTAAGTTCAACTTGTTTTAATACTTCAGTTACATTTTCCTACTATAACCAGTAACCACCCTCTTTATCATTGATTTCAAGTAAGAAATCATCAAAGCATACATGAATGATTGCATATCATCAAAGAGAATCAGAGCCCAAACTTGAATATTTCCCATCACCTGTCCATGTATTTTTCTTGGAAATTCAGTTGACTTGCTTCTTTTCTGAAGACTTTCATTTTCATACCTGCAGTGCATAAAACGACAGACATAGATCCTGATCAAAAATGTGTACTCTGGGCTGAAGTCTCCATATCCACGTAATGTCCAAGGATCAAGGAACAAACTTTGGGTTTTGTTCAAGACATGACTTTATACAAAGAAATAAACTTAGAAAAGTGCTTTTACACTAAAAACTTAGATAAGCTGCGTCAAGTTTGTTTTGAAACACCACAGTCAGAGGTTGTGGGCCCAGTTTAACCTCTGATCACTGATGACCAGCCCAGGTATGTTTTGACAATGTTCCCGAGCACCTTCTATGAGAGAAGCTAATGCACATGAGAGCAAAGTCAAGTTTCTTCTAGTTCAAGTCCATGGAAATCATCTGATGGCTTGGAAGGCCCGCCAGGAAGCCGGTAGGTAATTGAATCTCTCTCACGTTGTGAAGTCACATACTTCAGGATAAAGAAAAAGCTATGCTTACGTTACGGGGCAACTACAAAGCTATTCCTTAAAACACTATGATCACTTCAGTTTCCCGCATACTCAGTCTGTGTCTGAACAAGACAAGCACATCTTAGGAAGACTACATTTAGCAAGATACATAATTGTCCTGGCAAACCTCAGTGATCAAGCCGTAAAGCAATCCTTTATTTTGCATAATGAAAACTTTTCAGCCTCAGTGAAATCACCTGATTTGAATTTATATGCAACCTAAGTAAAATCTGAAGCAGTCAGACATCTGAAATTGTTTCTCATTGTAGAGTTCAGAATCAAGTCTGTCTTTCTAAGATTCACTTTCTAATCTTTCTTGGATGTCTTTAATCATCTGAATTTTTCTCAATTTGGATAATATCTTGTTTTTGCAAAACAGTTCAGCTCTCCAATCCATATCAAAAACTTCCTACCTATAGGCTGGGCATGGTGGCTCATGCCTGTAATCCCAGCACTTTGGGAGGCTGAAGTGGGCAGATGACTTGAGGCCAGGAGTTTGAGACCAGCCTGGCCATCATGGTGAAACACTGTCTCTACTAAAAAAATTTTTTTAAATAGCCAGGCATTGTGGCAAGCACCTGTAATTCCAGCTACTTAGGAGGCTGAGATATGAGAATCACTTGAACCTGGGAGGAGGAGGTTGTGGTGAGCCAAGATCACACGAGTGCACTCCAGCCTGGGAGAGAGAGCAAGACTCTGTCTCAAAACAAACAAACAAAAACTTCCTACCTAGAAGTCTGTATTCAATAAAAATACTCTTTAAAAATGAAGGCAAACTTCCAAGAACCACAGTAAAAGACACGACCAGGGAATTTAAGTGGTGCATTAAAAAACTGTCTAATACGAATGAAGACAATAACAGAGACAGAGATCCATTTAGCAGAATAGATTTTTAAATGACCCACTCAGTATACTGTCTACCAGAGACACAATTTTGATACAAAGACACAAATTGTTTGAAATAAAAGCATGGAAATGATAAACTATGCAAACAGCAACCAGTGGGGAACTGGAGTGCTCTACTAACATGAAACAAAATCGTCTCAGACAAAAGTTATACGTAGAGAAAAAGAACGTTTTATATAAGGATCAATCCAGCAAGAAGATACTCCAGTTAAACACAAGAGTTCACCTGACAACAAATTCTAAGAAACAAATTAAACCATAAAAATTATGAAAAGTTAAAATTAAGGGGGTGGAAAGTTATACTACACAAGCACTAATCAAAAGGAAATTAGTTTAGCTATATTCATTATCCAAAGGAAACATGAAGCAGAAAAGAAAGCATTGCTAAAAATAGAGGACATCTCTCAATGAAAAGAGTTCCATGCACGTGGAAGACATAATTCTAAATGTGTGCACCATAGGTTAGCCTCAAAATATACAAAGCAAAAACTAACAGAGATTAAAAACAAATTAATCAACCAGTCCCCAGCAGATGATTTGAACATATCTCTTAATAATAGTAGGGGGGAAATTACGAGGTATAGAGAAGATGTGACTCTAATGGGGATGTGTGTAACTGTGTATGTATATATATATATATTATATGTGTATCACATGTCAGATACTGTAGAATAGTTTTCAATTACACAGGGCAGATTAGTAAAACAATTAACCATATCTGATCATAAAGCAAGCCTTGACACATTTAAAAGATGACACTTGTCGAATGTCCAACCAGAATGAATTCTGTGTAATTCTGTATATTATTGCATATATTATGCATATTTTTTTAGTGAAATATTTATTCCATGAGAGGGAACCAACCACAGAGATGTCCAACATGCTGTGAACCTCCTACATAAAAGCACAAGCCAGACACACATGTATACCTTATTATATCACTGTTAAGGACTTTCATAAGAACTGACAAAACTATAGTGTTCAGAGATCCATGCTTAGGTAGTAAAACTCCAGACGTTTATGATATCCTAAAAGCCACGATGGTGGTTTACTTGCTAAGGAAGTTGTGATTAGAAAACGGCCTTTTAAAAAAAGCTTGGGGAAATGTTCTATATTAGTCTGCTAGGGCCCCTATAATAAAGTCCCACAGACTGAATGTCTTCAACACCAGACAGGCACTTCTCAGTTCCGGAGGCCGGAAGTCCAAGTGCAGGTGTCAGCTGGGTTGGATTTCTCTGCGCCCCTCTCCTGGACTTGCCCATGGCTGCCTTCTTGCTGCCTCTTCTCATGGGTTTTCCTCTATGCACATGTACCCTAATCTCCTCTTATAATGACACCAAGCAGCAGATTAGGGCCCATACTGATGGCCTCAAAAAGGCTTCATTGCCTTTTTAAATGTCCTCTCTCCAAATTCAGTTTCATTCTAAGGTACTAGGGATTAGGAAGTCAGCATATGAATTTGGGGAGAGCACACATCAGTTCGTAATAGGTGGCAGCAAAAAGGGTGTTCACATGATAAATTGGCCTGTACATCTTGTCTCATACCTTTTTCTCTGAGTGTATTTTGCTTTAATATAAAAAAGAATAAAAATAGCTAGGCATGGTGGCATACGCCTGTAGTCCCAGCTACTAGGGAGGCTGAGGCAGAAGAATCACTTGAACCTGGAGGGCAGAGGCTGTAGTGAGCCAAGATCATGCCACTGCACTCCATCCTGGCAACAGAGCGATACATCATTTCAAAAAAAAAAAAAGAATAGAAAAATCTCATGCAGTTTCACACTTGCAAGAAAATAACAAACTCCTTTGGGACAAGGTCAGCCTTCCTCTGCATAATTATTCGCACCCAAATCCGTGAATTCCATAACATTTTGTCCCAATTAGTCAACCTCCTAGATCCGTATCCTTTTAAATTAAGATTAGTGTTGTGAAAACCTGAAACACTCCGACATCCATGAACAGTAAAGAAGAATCACAGTTGACTATGACACTAGTTTATGGTTAATCAGGAGGTGGCATTTACTGTTAGCCCAATCAGCTTTTACCTACCTGAAAGATCGATCAATAATAGTTATTACATCTCCATGTTTTAGCTGTACAGGCTCATCAATAACAGACCCATTTACTTGTGTTGGATTTGTGGAACTAAAATTATGCAATATTGCCTGCAAGTGAAGGGAGGGGGAAATATGTAACTAATGAACAGATTAAAAGTGAACTAAAAAGTTTTAAAAGTAGACCTCCAAAAAACCACTTACCTCCTGCTCATTGATTTCAATTTTGCAATGTTGTTTTGACACAACAGGCAGCTGGATGCGGATGTCACATTCAATACCCCTTCATGCAAAAGAAGAAGGTTGGTTTGGTTGTTGCAACTTTTTAAAACATTAGCACAATTTTCCAAAATAAAACACAATTTGACTAGCATGTTTGATCTGCAAATATAAGGACATAAAGAAGTAACAAACAAAATGGACAATGTAAAGGATCTTTGCATTTTGCAAAGAACTTTTGGAAGCATTAAACATGTAACTATTAGGTCTTTAAAACAGAGAGTATATAAAAATAAGAGAAAACACTAGAATACAAATTGAATTACCTTTTATATAAAAAGCTATACTTAAAAGACACAAAGAAAGGAGTACTTACATCAGTTTTGGAAAATGACTATTTTTAATACCCTGTGCTTTTTCAAAAAAAAAGTTTGTTTGTAATGTTAACTATGTTTAATGGTTTAATCATCCCCAAATGTGCTTATTTTATGCTGGCACTTCCATGTATCAGTTTCTTCATATACAATAAAGAGATTACATTAGCCGGGCGCGGTGGCTCAAGCCTGTAATCCCAGCACTTTGGGAGGCCGAGGCGGGTGGATCACGAGTTCGAGAGATCGAGACCATCCTGGTCAACAAGGTGAAACCCCGTCTCTACTAAAAATACAAAAAGTTAGCTGGGCATGGTGGTGCGTGCCTGTAATCCCAGCTACTTAGGAGGCTGAGGCAGGAGAATTGCCTGAGCCCAGGAGGCGGAGGTTGCGGTGAGCCGAGATCGCGCCATTGCACTCCAGCCTGGGTAACAAGAGCGAAACTCCGTCTCAAAAAAAAAAAAAAAAAAAAAAAAAAAAAAGAGATTACATTAGAACCTACATCATGTGATGTTCCAACAGCTAATTTAGTTGTACACGTCACTAATTTGCCTAGCACATAGTAAATGCTTATTATGGGTAAGCTTTTTATTATTTTAAAACCACACTGTATTTACTGACAGATTCAGAAGTCTCTAAACAATAAAAATACTAATTTGCACGCAACAACAACAACAAAAATCTAAATTCAACTTGTTTTTCCACAGAAAGCTTTGGCAAAGCAGCAGAAGAGACAATTCTCAAACCTGCAGAAACTAATAATCAGAAGAACCATTAGGTTCCTGGAGTCTTCTGCATTCCTGTTCTAGCCTGTGATCTTAAAAACTCAAACAAACTGGGGCCGGGCACGGTGGTTCACGCCTGTATTCCCAGCAGTTTGGGAGGCTGAGGGGGTGGATCATCTGAGGTTGGGAGTTCAAGACCAACCTGACCAACATGATGAAACCCTGTCTCTACTAAAAACACAAAAATTAGTCAGACGTAGTGGCTCATGCCTGAATCCTAACCACTCAGGAGGCTAAGGCACAAGAATCGCTTGAACCTGGGAAGTAGAGCTTGCAGTGAGCCGAGATCATGCCATTGCACTCCAGCCTGGGTGATGGAGCAAGACTCTGTCTCCAAAACAAGTAAAAAATATAAAAATAAAAATAAAAATTGAACAAAGTATGCAATGGCCTGTCTGTTCTCCATCTGAATCTTTGGACTCTAAGAATACCTCTCCCTAGCCATGTTATGTGACCAAACGCGAATTAGTTTCTAAATTATAAAATCTTGTGTGAAAATATGTTCAAGATCTACTGTAAAAAAAGCAAAAGGACTGTCACTTAAAATGAAATGTTTATATTTTTCCTTTTCAAAAGAAAGGTATCTATGAAAAGTGAAAAGCTTCTTTAACCCCAATAAGACAATTTGATTTTAAGGTAACAGAACATCTGAGTAACAGAGAGACTATCCCTTACAACTGAGAACTTGTCTGGCAGGAAGACGACTGTAGATGAGTGTTTCTGAGCCATGGCACTGCTGACGTCTTGGGCCAGATGCTTCTGTATTGTGGGGGCTGCCCTGAGCCTGGTAGGATCCCCACCCTGACCCCTCTTCCGTGATGACAGCACATGCTCCCCTCCCCTGTATTGTGACATGGAAATTCTCCAGAGTTTATCAAATGACTTGTAGAAGGTATGATAACCCTCCCGTGAGAACCACTGCTATCAAGTGACCACAAATCCGTGGCGCCAGCCCATGTTTCTCAGTAGAAATTTCTTGCCAGAATGCTGAGTATAGATCACATCCCCTATGCCAGGCACCATCCCTGGCCCTGCACACATGATTAGTAACAAGATAGTCCTTTCCTTTGGGGAGCTCAGTCTAGTGGGAGACAAACCCACAACTTACCCCTGAAGCCATGGGGTTGGAAATACGAGCTTTAATGCAAGGCTTCCTCAGAGGTGACACTGAACCTGATGCCTGAATGACGGAAATCACACAAGTTTGGGGAAAGGGAGAACTTTCCCATCATAAACTTCCAAGTGTGTAAAAAGTACCAAGGTGAACAGGGCTTGGAATGCCTTAGGTGGGAGGAACAAGGGAGGGGATGGGGTCAGGAGGATGGGATGAGGCGAGGATGGGAGGCAGAACCCAGACCACAGACGAAGTGACCCCTTCTCAGGCCTCTAGTGGGACACATGTCAGAGGCTGATAGGGCCATTGTTCGCGACTGTGCCTGTTATACAGGGACAGGGTTATTCAAACGGGACAGCAACGTAAGAGGAAAGGTTCTCAAATGCCAGGCAGGAAGACTTTCTGTCCCGTTTTCCTATCGCCAGAAAGAGCCAAGAGCCTTCATTCTCTCAGAGTCCCAAGCGGCCAGGGATACCCACTACCGAGGGTCCCAGGGACATACAGTGTCTTCTGACGCCCGCCTGAAGCCAGTAACGTATGAAGACCATCATCTTTCTTTATCACGATTAGAAAACGAAGTTTTTTAATTGGCTTGATTTCTAAAACCACTTAAATATACAAACACTAGCATCAAATTTCTATTTGGTAAAACAAAACACAACTCTGTCAACTCAGTAACATGGAAGAAGCACCAAGGAAATGCGACCGCAGGACCCAATCGCAGAGCACGTTCCTGGACCGTGTACTGCGATAAAGACATTTTCCTTTCTCGGCTAAAACGTCCGCGCGCGCCCCCGGGGCTCACCTTCCGAACAAGCAGGTGCTGAGGCTCAGGGGAAAGTGGGCACCGTCGACCCCGCTCCTTTTGATAGTAACGATGCGTCTCGTGGGCCCCATTTTCTAAACAGTAAGTTGAGTATGTTGAGTATATATAGAGGAAGGCCAGGTACCAAAAGATTTGCCCAGACGCAGACTTACAACAGCTCTTCCCTGCAAAAGAGGCGCGGATTACTGTGAGAGCAAAGGAGCTAAGAAGGGACCCGTAGCCGGGCGCGGCGGCTCACGCCTGTAATCCCAGCATTTTGGGAGGCCGAGGCGGGTGGATCACGAGGTCAAGAGATCGAGACCATCCTGGTCAACATGGTGAAACCCCGTCTCTACTAAAAATTCAAAACATTAGCTGGGCATGGTGGTGCAGTGCCTGTAATCCCAGCTACTCAGGAGGCTGAGGCAGGAGAATTGCCTGAACCCAGGAGGCGGAGGTTGCGGTGAGCCGAGATCGCGCCATTGCACTCCAGCCTGGGTAACAGGAGCGAAACTCCGTCTCAAAAAAAAAAAAAAAAAAGAAGGGACCCGTAAGCGACGCATCCATCCGCCCACCCCCGGCCGCACAGGCGCACAGCGCAGCTGGCCCGCGGGGAGCCACGCACGGTCCGACTGCAGCCCCCGGCGCCCCCAGCGCCCCAAAGTCCCGCGGCCGGGGTGCTGTCGCCCGCGCCTCCCTGGAGTTTCCAGAGACGCCCTCGCCAGAGCCCAGGAGGAGCCGGGCCCAGGCCGCGCGTCCCCGCAGAGCTCGGCGGGAGGGGAGGGGTCCCCGCGGCTCAGCCCCTGACCCCGGACGGTTCCCAGGAGTCCCGGCCGCAGCTCACCTGGGACGATCCGGCCCGCAAGGCCGCCCGTGGAACCACCGCTCACGGCGCACCCAAAGTCCGCCGCAGGGGGAGCCGGCCACGCTCTCACCTCCGCCCGGCCGCGCTCGCTCCGCCCCGGCCCGCAGTCCCCGCTGCTCCCGCCGCCGCCGCCGCCCCCGACGGGGACCCGGTGTCCCTACAGGCGGCGTCCCCCGGCGCCCGACTTTAGCGGGTCCCGCCGAGTCCTCCCGCCCGCCCGGCGCTTACTTCCGCCAGCTCCGCGCGCCCGCCCAATTCAAACGAAAACGGAGATTCAAATTCTGGCGCTAAGCGCTACGATTGAACGGAAAAGCGCGGCGTGGGACCAATAGGAAGGCCGCGAGGGCGTGGGCGGGGCGTCGTGGGACCAATAGGAAGGCCGCGAGGGCGTGGGCGCGGAGGGGGCGGGGAAACGAGGCTCCGGGGCGGGGCTGGCGACCTAGTCCGCGGGAGAAGACCTGGTGCGGCCGGGAGAGGGCGGGCTGCGGAGGGCAGAGGCGGAGCTCGGTCCCCCGGGACGGCCCGTCCGGCCACCCTTGGCTTAAAGGACCCAACACCTGGGACACTAACGTTACCCATGGCCGGAAGATGTGAAACTCTTAAAAATCAAAAAACTCAGGCTGGGCGCGGGGAAGCAGGAGGATCTCTTGAGCCCGGGAGTTGAGAACCAGCCTGGGCCACCTGGAGAGGACCGTCTCTGCACAACGTTAGCCAGGCGTGGAGGCGCGCCTGGGGTTCTAGCCCCTGGGAGAGCTGAGGAGGGAGGATCGTGGAGTCCGGGCGGTCGAGGCTGCAGTGAGCGGAGATCGCGCCACTGCACTCCGGCCTGGACGACAGAGCAAAGCCTTGTCTCAAATAATAATAATAATAATAATGAATAAATTAAATAAAAATATTAAAAAATAAAACCTCCCTCTTCCGTCCATACATCTTACCAAACGCAACCAATTATAGAAAGTAGTTTCGTGTGTCTTTTCCAGCTATACGTGTCTCCTCTTTTTTCAAAAGCATAGAAAAAAAGATCATAACATACACACCGTTCTATACTTTGTGTTCTCTGCTTTTAACTATCCTGAGGCTGTCTCCTCTGAGCACATTCTCGCTTTTACTCTCTTGTTTCGTGGCTGCAGAGCACTGGGCTTCAGGAATCCATAACGTACTTAATCCTTACTATTGCCACATATTTAGGTTTACAATGTTTTGCTGTTAGAAAACATTCTTCGATTGAAATGCCTTGTGCATGCCAGGATGGGTGAATCCTAAAATAATCATACACAGGGTTCTATGGGGTCTGCCTCTGCTGTGCTGGTGGCGATTCGGGCTCCGTGGGCCACCTGGGGTGAAGTGAATGGAGCCCAAACAAGCTTCTGGTGACAACCCCACCCCCACATCTCACCTCCTCCAGCTCCTCAACAAGCCTTGAAGCCTGGCTCTCTTGATCAGGAGCAGAGGTCCTCACTGTGTGGAGGGCCCTGAGGGTTTCCTATTTCTTGCAGGGGAGTCCATGAGATCAAAACCAGGTCTGTAATGACCCTCTGTGTTACTTACCCTTCTCATTCTCTTGCTCCCAAGAGTATGGGGTGCATTCCGAAAATGCAGAAGCAGGGAGGAGACTCCCACTGTCTCCTATTCAGCCAGGTATTATAGAGATTTACAAAAATGTGAAGTAATGCGCTGTTTTCATGTTGTTGTTGTTGTTGTTGTTGTTTTGGAGAATGCATATTTTTTTCATAAAAATAAGTTGCTCGTATTAGCATGAAATAGGTGCATCACCGCCTTAAAATGAATCAATAAATGAATATTTTTAAATGTCTTAGCCTTAACTTAAAATATATAAATATAGCTAGATATAACCCATCCACATTAACAAAAATTCCTAGTGGTTCTCAACAATTCTTAAGAGGGTAAAGAGATCACAAGTTTGAAAAAACTGAGCCCTTTACTCTGGAGCATCAAGAATCAGCTACTGATGGAAATAGAGAAACTGTGAAAAGCCACATGAAAGCACAGGACAGCAACTCTAAATTGTATGGGCCAGCCTGGTGTAGAAAAATTGAATGCAGGGATACTATTATATAAACCTTTTCGAGGGCATGAGTTTCCATGTTATGCCCCATTAAATGATCAAACTAAGCCCACCACTGCATAACCCCATAAAATACAACTTTTCTCACCCCATTTACTGCTTGTTTCCAGGGACAGTTAGTCCACCCTCATGGATGCAGCTTAATTCTAACTAGAAGGTGCTAGGCCAGGTGCAGTGGTTCATGCTTGTAATCCCAAACATTTTGAGGGGCCAAGGTGGGTGGATCATGTGAGGCCAGGAGTTCAAGATCAGCCTGGCTAACATGGTGAAAACCTGTCTCTACTGAAAATACAAAAATTAGCCCAGTATGCTGGTGCACACCCGTAATCCCAGCTACTCGAGAGGTTGTCGCTTGAACCCAGGAGGCAGAGGTTGCAGTGAGCCAAGATCATACCACTGCACTCCAGCCTGGGTCACAGACTGAGACTCTGCCTCAAAAAAAGAAATACGAGGTGCTAGAATATCTGTCCAATAATCCACACACTAGTGAACACAGAGCACCAGTTCTCAAGAGGTAGCAGAAAATTAAAGGAAAGATGCTAGGGAATGGTGAGTGGTGGGTCTTAGATCCTTAGGACAGCCTATCTTTGAACTGTTTTGTGATAGACTTTCACAGTGGGGCTTTCTGTTGAATTTTAAGCTTGCCCCAAAGCCTAAGACTTCATTGTAAATGCAGATCTCTGGACTGTGGGGAGAACCCTAAGCCTCCCATTCCCAGGATGGCTTCTGGCTCTGTGTCTCCCTCAGTGTGATCAGCATTTCTAATGGGGTGTGGAACAAAAGCCTGTGGCTAGAGCACTGGAGACCCAGGATGTGCAGGAAGAGTCTTTCCAGGGGTTATGTGGATCAGAGGAGCCTCAGGGAATCAGTTTCCATATCCTCACAGTCCACACCCTCTCATGCCCAAACTGAGTCAGCCCTGGAAAAGGTCTCCAAAGGAGTCCCTGCCCCGGGGCATTTTCACACTTCCTACTCCCAGCCTCAGATCTCATCTGCCTGAAACTTACACTGGACATTGCCCCAGGCAACCAACGAAGTAACCAGCCAACAATTCCCTTAACTGTATCCATCCGTGTATACTCATGACAAGATTTGATTGTACATTTCATACAAATGAAATTTGAAACATTTGTGTTGTTTCATCAACTGTTTTAGTAAATATGTATATAAACAAGTGTGTGATAAGTGTATGAGTGTGTATATATAAAAAGGAAGAGAAGGTAGGCAAGGTGGCTCATGCCTGTAATACCAGCACTTTGGGAGATCCAGGCAGGAGTTGAGGCCAGGAGTTGGCGATTAGCCTGGGCAACATAATGAGATCTTCCATCTCTATAAAAAACAGGCAGACAAACAAAATAGCCAGGCTGCTGGCCTGGGCCTGTAGTCCCAGCGACTCGGAGGCTGAGGAAGAAGGATCACCTGAGCACAGGGGGTGGAGGCTGCAGTGAGCTGAGATCGCCCACGGCACTCTAGCCTGAGCCACATAGTGAGGCCTTGCCTTATGCATAAATAAATAGGAGAAAGCAAGGAAGAGTTTCAGATAAGTGGAACAGACGCGAATAGAAGACCCTTTCATACAAAAGCATGTAAGTTGCTATAGGATAAACTCAGAGGGGAAAGTGAAGCAGAAACACGAGTTCTAAGCAATAAAGGAGTCGTGCGGAGACCTGCTTCGGAAGGCTTTCCGTCAGCCTGGGCGGGTCTCCGGGGGCGGCCCTGCGGGTTAGGGCGGTCTCTGCAGCTCTGGCTCCTGTGCCATTAGTGCGTTTCCTTCCTGACCTTGACCTGAGGCTGCTTCTAGCATCACAGCTCCCAGAGAGCCGTTCCGGGGGCCGCCCTCCCCTTGAAGCAGCAGGATTAAAGCTCAGAACCACCCCCCACCCCCACCTCCATCCCCGGGGCGGGAGATGCAGGCGCAGGGCGGGGACACCTCGGGCTCGGCCACCTGGGCGGCTGGCGCCTCCGGAAGTGCCCGTTCCGTCCCCTAAACGCGGTTAATCTGGGCGGGGTCCCATCCACACACCCCCAGAGCGGTGTGCTGCAGGTGCCCCCGAGCCCACGCGAAGACCCGGATCCCGGCGGTTCACCTGGCTCCAGACCCAGGCCCTTCACCCTGCAGTGGCTGCAGAGAGGGGCGCTGC